AACTTGTTGGTGTATAATCATTTATTACAGTCTTTTACAATCCTTTGTATTTCCATGGTATCAGTTGTAATGTATCCTCTTTGAGTTTTGATTTTATTTGAGTCTTCTCTATTTCTTAGTCTAGCTAAAGATTTCTGAATTTCATTTATCTTTTCAGATAATCAGCTCTTAGTTTCATTGGCCATTTCTATTTTTTTACTTGTTTCTATTGCATTTATTTCTGCTCTAAATTTTGTTATTTCTTTCCTTCTACTAACTTTGATTCAGTTTATTCTTCTTTTTCTAGTTTTTTAAAGTGTAAAGTTAGGTTGTTTATTTGAGGCCTTTTCCCTTAATTCAGGCATTTACTGCTGTAAACTTCCCTTTTAGAACTGTTCTGTAGCATCCCATAAGGTTTGGTAAGTTGTGCTTTCATTTTCATTTATTTGTTGATTTTCCTTTTGATACTTGGTAGGGTTTCAATCTTAAAGTTGCTAAGAATTGTTTTGTTACCTTCATGTGATCTATCCTGGAGAATGTTCTGTGTGCACTTGAGAAGAATGTGTATTCTGGTACTATTTAGTGGAATGTTCTATACACGTCTGTTAGGTTCAAAAAACTGGTTCAAGTCCAACATTTCCTATAGATTTTCAGTCTGAATGATCTACTGTTGAACATTGGGTGTTGAAGTCCTCTGCTTGTTCTTAGTCACTCAGTTGTGTCTGACTCTTTGTGACCCCATGGACTGTAGCCCGCCAGGCTCCTCTGTCCATGGGGATTCTCCAGGCAAGAATACTGGAGTGGGTTGCCATGCCCTCCTCCAGGAGATCTTCCCAACCTAGGGGTCCAACCCGGGTCTCCCACATTGCAGGTGGATTCTTTACCATTTGAGCCACCAAGGAAGCCCCAGACTACTGGATTGGGTTGTCTATCCCTGCTCCAGAGGCATTTCCTGACCTCGGAATAGGAATTGGACCAGGGTCTCCTGCATTGCAGGAGGATTCTTTACCAGCTGAGCTACCAGGGAAGCCTGTTGAAGTCCTCTACTCTTATTTTATTTGTGTATATCTCCTCCCTCAGATCTATTAGTTTGGCTTAATATATTCAGGTACTCTGATGTTGGGTGTGTATATATTTATGATTATTACATCTTCTTGATGAACTGACCCCTTTATTACAACAATGGTTTCTCGTTACCATGTTTGGCTTAAAGCCTCTTTCATCAGATTTAAGGACACCTACTGCTGCTTTCTTTTGGTTCCCACTTGCATGGAATACCTTTTCCCATGTCTTCATTTTGAGCCTGTGTGTATTTTTAAAGCTGAAGTGAGTCTCTTATAGGCAGCATTTAGTTGTTTCTTATTTTTACCCATTCATTCACTCTGCGTCTTTTGATTGGAAATGTTAATTTAGAGTAATTATTGTCAGGTAAGGACTTACTAGTGGCATCTTATGAATTGCTTTCTTGCCAAGAGTGCATTGATGCTTATTCCCATTATCTTATTTAATCCTCTGACTACATGAAATAGTAGGTAGCTCTTTGATATTGGGTTCTTTGAGCTCTTTGACATTAGGCTTAACAATATTTTTTTGGATCTGTCTCCAAAGGCAAGAAAAGCAAAAATAAGCAAACTAGATGACATTAAACTGAAAAGCTTTTACATAGTAAAGGAAATCATTAACAAAATGAAAAGGCAACCTACCGAATGGGAGAATACATTTGAAAATAATATATCTAAAAGAGGCTAATGTCTAAAATATATATAAAAGACTCGTGCAACTTATTATCAATTTAACAATTTAATTTAAAATGGGCAGAGGACTTGAATAAACATTTTTCCTAGAAAGACATACAGATGGTCAGACACACGAAAAGATGTTCAACACCACTAATCATCAAAGATATGCATACCAAAACCACAATGAGGTATCACCTCACACCTGTCAGAATTGCTGTCATCAAAATGATCACAAATAATGTGTTGGGGAGGACGCAGAGAAAAGGGAACTTTTGTTCAATGTTGGTGGTAATGTAAACTGATAGAGTCACTATGGAAAACAGTATGGAGGTTCCATTTTAAATAAAATTAGCACTACCATATAATCTAGCAATTCCTCTTCTGGGTAATTATCCAAATAATATGAAAACACTAATTTAAAAAGTATGTGCACCCTATGTTCTTTGCAGGATTATTTTTAATAGCCAAGATATGGAAGCAACCTAAGTATCCATTGGAAGATAAATGGATAAAGAAGTTGTGGTATGGGTATATATATAATATATAATGCATAGTATAATATAGATAATGTATATATTATATATACACCCATACTGTATCTTCTTTATCCATTCACATATATATATTATATATATACACATACCACATCTTCTTTATCCGTATATATATGTATATATATATGTATCTATGTGTATATATATGTGTATATATGTATATATCTATGTGTATCTATGCATATATATATATATGTATATGAAGTGAAATGAAAGTTGCTCAGTCGTGTCCGACTCTTTGCAACCCTGTGGACTATTCAGTTCATGGAATTCTCCAGGCCAGAATGCTGGAGTGGGTAGACTTTCCTTTCTGTAGGGGATCTTCCCAACCCATGGATTGAACCCAGGTCTCCAGCATTGCTGGCAAATTGGACATGACTGAGTGACTAAGCTCAACATACACACACACACATGCATATTTATATTAGAGAGGGTTGCTGTTTCCTTCTCCAGGGACTCTTCCCAACCCAAGGATGGGACCTGCATCTCTTGCATTGCAGGCAGATTTTTTACCGACTGAGCCACCAAGCACCAAGGAAGTCCTATATATGGAATATTACTCAGCCATAAAAAGAAGAAAATCTTGCCATTTATGACAACAAGGGATGGACCTAAAGGTTATTATTCTAATTGAAATAAGTCAGAGAAAGAAAAGACCTTATGATTTCACCTATATGTGGGATCTAAAAACCAAAACAGAAATAGACTCATACATTCAGAAAACAAACTACTGTTTGCCAGAGGGGAGTGGAGTATGGGGTTGGAAAAAATAGCTGAAGGAGAATAAGAGGTGCAAAGTTCTAGTTACAAAATGAATAATTCATGAGGATGTAATGAGTAGAATAAGGAATAGAGTCAATAATATTGTAATAACTTTGTATGGTGACACATGGTTATCAAACTTACCATGGTGATCAATTTGTAATATATATAAATGTCACACCAGTATGTTGTATACCGGAAACTCTATAATATTGTATGCCAACTACACTGCAATTAAAAAAAAAGTAGGTGCTACCATTAGACTAGGGTTTCTTAGCCTTAGCCTTGGTACTATTAACATTTTGGGGCTAGATAGTTCTTTATTTGAAGGGCTATCTTGTGTGTTTGTAGACTGGTTAGCAGCATCCCAGAGATGCCAGTAACTTCCCTCTACCCTCGGTCATGACAATCACAAATGTTTTCAGACACTGTCCCCAGAGTAGATGGCCTTCATTATGCATCCAGTTGAACACTGTTGTATTAGACAGAATTTACAGATAAGTGGCCCAAGGTTTGAAGAAGTCAATTACTAGTCCAAAGGTACTTTGCTGATAAAGGACAGCGCCAAGATATCAGCCTAGATTTGCTTGTCATTAAACTCTTGAATTAATATTCTTTATTGCATATTCAAACTTGACTCCTTCCCTTCCCCACATACATCATTTGGACTAACAGGCTGAGATCCTCACATCTGAAGCAGGAGATGTACTGATTTCTCATTCACCTCATTGCACAGTCACTTGTCGGGAATGCCTCTTCCCAACTCGGCCAGCCTTTACCTCTCTGCCAATTTACATCTTGTGCTGTTCTGGATTAATGCATGGACCAGTTTAGCCAAACCTGCTAGAGAATGGGGGGTCATAATTAGAAATATTTGATGAGTAGATCCTCAGTAGATCCTGGTATTTCTTACCAGGCTAGCCATGTGACTCTTCAGAATCTCTGCCATTTTATTTATAAAGGAAAAATGTTTTTTCACTTCCTACTCTCTCCGAAGATGAATAGTAACGCACACCAGTTACAGAATCATAAGTAGTTAAGGCTCTAGGAGCTTTAAAATCTATCACACTGAACCACCTCAGTCTACAAATGTAACGGTTGAGGCCCATTAAACAAAACGAGAAACTCAAAATCATACACCTTGAAACCCAAAATCCAGGGTCTTTTCTATTATATCCTTCTGTTTCTAGAAAAGACAAAACTCAGAAGTATGAAACCGTTTCAGAGGTGGTTTGAATTATTGGTGAATTATACATAGAATTATATTTAATGGTTCTATTTCTGAATAATATTTTATAGATGAAATTCATTATTTTTAAAATTACTCTTCTAAAATGACAAAATTCATTAATGGCTCTGCAGTTTCTTTTAGCATTTTCTGTGTTTTAAGCACTTATATGCTGAGCGCTCTCTCTCTCATTTAACTCTTACAGTATAAAGTAGGTACAATGAACATTATATCAGCTAAGAAACAGGAACCACTTTAAGATTCTGAGCAGAAGGAATTTGACTGGGGAAATTGGTTCTATCACAGCGGGAGAGCTAAGAAAGTAATAAGCGGGCAGGAAGTCAACTCAAGAGATTATTAACAGCAGGAAGCTGCTGCTCTATTACCTTCAGGGCTGGAGGCACATTAGGAGCTGGTGTCATTGAGTTCAAAAGTGGGGTCCTCTGAGAGGAAGGGGCCCTCTATGAACTGATACTGGAAGAAATAATGCTCTTTCCAGAGACCCGACAGGAAGTAGAGAGACAGAAGGCGGAGAATACCTTGACATCTCTTCAGCTCCCACCATCCAGCCTTTCACCAGTGCATCCCATTAACTGGACCTAGGAGCAAGGGAGCCTGGGAAATGATTCCCGGAAACACCGGGCAGATGAAGCTCAGAGAATGGATTTGAGGACAGACAGGCACCGACCTATACAATTATCTTTACCAACTTCTTTGGTTTTGTGACTGTCAACTCACCAGGTCCCTAACAAACAGAGGCAACTGGCAGGAAGACTCTCTGAGGGAGTGATATACCACGTTTCCAGTGTTTTCTCTGTTCCTTCTCTTTATCCTAAAGAGAAAAGGAGATTTGAGTCAAAGGAATAGAAACAAGCTGGCGCTTATCTTTTGATGATTTAATTGAGGTGGAATCTGTCAACCAACTCACCCAGGAGTCCACCAGCCAGCAAGTTCAGAAGTATGGGAAAAAACAGGCCCTAGACTCAGGCATTTTCTGGAAGGAAACACTAGCCAGTCATATGAGTGATGAGGGCACACACAGAACTATACTGCGGGCTGAGTTGTGTCTCCAGAATTTATATATTGAAACTCCAACTCCCTCTGTGAGGTCATAAGTGTGAAGCCCTAATCCAATACGTCTGGTGTTTCTATGAGAAGGAAAGGTAACTGGGATGCCTGTACACAGAGAAAAGGCCACGTGAGGACACAGAAGGGGGCCGTCTGCAAGCCAAGGAGGGATGCCTCGAGAGAAACAAACCTGCCCACACCTCGGTCTTGGACTTTGAGCCTCCAGAACTGTGAGAAAATAGGCTTCTGTTGTTTAAGCCACCTGGTTTGTGGCATTTTGTTATGGCAGCCTGAGAACACTACTCCAAGGCACGAACACAATATATCAAATAAGAATCAATGCTCATTGCTGCTTTCAAAAACAGGGGCAAGAGGTCACCTGCTATGAGCTACCTACTCCCTGAAATTATTTGCTAAGCAACCAAGTCCTTTTTAAAACAAACCTTTTTTATTTTATATTGGAATATAGCGTATTAACAGTGTTGTGACAGTTTCTGGTAGACAGCAAAAGGACTCAGCCATACATACACAAGTATCCATTCTCCCCTAAATTCCACACCTCCCCCCACCCCCAACATTGAGAAGAGTTCCCTGTACTATACAGTAGGTCCTTGTTATCTATTTTAAATATCCATCTCAAACTCCCTAACTATCCCTTTCCCCCACTCTTCCCCCCTGAACCAAAAGTTTGTTTTCTAAGTCTGTAAGTCTGATTCTGATTTGTAAACAAATTCATTTATATCATTTCTTTTTAGATTCTGCAGATAAGGGATACCACACAATATTTCTCTTTCTTTGTCTGACTTCACTCAGTATGATAATCTCTGGGAATCATGTATTTTTTATAGTCAGGAGTGAGGTTTAAACACACACCCACAGGAGAAAAACAAAGAGCAATAGTACAAATTCATATGCAGGTATAAATGATTTTCTTGAGAGCAAGCTGTAAGTAATGGGAGAAAGAATGAGAAACTGAGTATTGGTAAAAGAAGGGATTCTGAAGAGGTGTATGGCGGGGGGCAGGGAACTGAGGGCGCTGAAGGTAATAATTTCCAAATTTTAAGACCTGGTTGGCTGAAGTCCTGGTGAAAGATTTATTTCCTCTTAAAATCTGATTTTCAGAAAATATCCAATGCCATATATAGAAGCTGGAAAATCTAATTTTTGGATGTGTTTCTTTCTCCAGACCACTGTGCTTAGGAAATTATTAAAACTGTCTAATTGGGATGCATTTCCTTGACTCATCAGGACCTAAGAATTCTGTGTCAGTTTAATTATGGGTGTATTGTTTCATTGAAGACATTAAAATGAAGTTCAAATAAGCCCCAAGTGCTCAGGTATGCCATTCCAGTGTAGGATCCCGAGAGCTGCTGTGTGATTGGTTTTAGGCAAAACAGTTTGAAGAAGTAAACTAATATTCTGGGATTGGCATTGCCCTTGGGTCCTCCTGGAGCCCAGGCAGCAATCTGGGATCGGCTTGGGATTAACTGTTTTCACATTTTTCCCAGAGTCCTGCCCGAATCCTATGAGTCACAGTTGAATCCCAAAAATATGCTCTTCCCTGGAGAATCAGACAGGGAGCGGAGAAAGGGCCAGGGGCTATCTAGGGAAGAGAAGTTGGGTTTGCAGGTGAAGATCATCTTAAGAGGAAACAAAAGAGGACAGCGGCAGGCTTGCAGTTCTAGGGAAGAGAAATCTAGGTGCACAATTATCAGGCCACTTCCAGATGCAGAAACCAATCTAGGGAGAGTCTGTGCAGCAATTTGCTAACATCTTTGGAAGCCCTGACACTCAGAGTGGGGTCTCAGACCAGCAGCATCAGCAAACCTGGGAGCTCATCAGACATCCAGACTCACTGAATCAGAAGTTACATCTTAACAAGACCCCCAGCTAATTTCCATGCCAAAGAAATTTTGAGATGCACTTCACAAAAGCTTTGCTTAGCCAGATGGATGTTTAAGGAGGATGAAAACATTCTGCCAGGACTTGAGTCTACACTTGGGGCTTCATTTCCCTCATGAATGACAAAGTCGAGGGGAAAGGATACAGAGAACAGAACGAGGTTTGGGGTTGTCACAGACCTCACTCTCACCCTTCACTAGCAACAGTAGACAGTACCCATTGTGGTTGTACACTGTGTCTGGACTGTAGGTGGCAAAGGTTCCCAGGGCTGCCACTGCCGCTATTGTCAGAAATATGCCACTCTGGGGCAGGCTCCACTGAAGTTCCCTGTTCTCCCTTCCAACGCTGCTCACCCGACTTCTCTGGCCTGTAAGAGGTGGTCTCCAACCCACTGCTGCAGGGTGACCATTCCCAGTGCTGGGGAACCTGAAGCCCGAAGCTAACACTGCCACATAAATTCACAGGTTACAGACTTGATGTGATCACCACTTAGAAATATGGTAGCATTTTGCTATATGTTGAAGCCTTACTCACCCCCATGTAACTGTATCTGTAGATAAGATCTTTAAGGAGATAATTAAGGTTAAATGAAATCATAAGGGTGGGGTCTTAATCTGGTAGGACTGGTGGCTTTATAAGAAGAGGAAGAGAGAGATGGATCTATCTACACACGTGCACTGAGCAAAGGCGTGCAAGGACTCAGTGAGAAGACAGCTATCTGCAAGCCAGGAATAGAGTGCTCACCAGAGCCTGACCCCACTAAACCTTGATCTTGGACTTCCAGCCTCCAAAACAGTAAAGAAATTAATTTCTGTTGCTTAAATCACAAAATCTATGATATTTTGTTATAGCAGTCTAAGCAGACTAAGACATATTAGTCCAAGGAGAATGGACTACTGGAAACTAGAATCTTGATAAGAAAGGGGATGCTTTTGAATTCAAAGCTTGTCTGCTGACATTGGACATGTTGATTATCTGTCAATGATCAGTTGCTAGTTATGGCTTCCAAGGATATATCCATCTCAGTCAATTTGAGCACATATGGCCCAGACTTTTTATTATCTTACTTGTAGTAACACATACACCTGGGAGAAGGGAGGATATATCAACACACACCCTGGCCTCTTTAGGGTGGCCAAGCATGTAATTTGCCCAGGACTCAGAGTTGTCCTGAGACATAGAACTTTCAGAGCTAAAACCAGGAGAGCTCTGGGCAACTGGCACAAATGGATCACCCTAAATGGGCCAAGTTTCACCTATTGAAAGACCAAAGGTACATGTAGTAAGGAAATAGATAAGTTATTGAAAGGTAAGTAGAGCCTGATCTTGTTTCACCATTGTGACGTTAACTCTTGATGCCTAAATTTCTCTCCCTATGAGGTGAGGGACCTGATTACCTCTAAGGGATGTTCCAGTGCTAATATAATTTCTGATTTGTAGGTTGTTCTGTCTTGGAGAGTTGGAGAGATCAAACTGTATCACTCCATAAAATAAACAAAGGAGAGGAACAAGGCTCTGAGCTTGGTACAAGGATATACATGTGTATAAGGCAATGTCTTCATGGAGCTTACTGTCTGCTGGGAGTGAGAGATGATGAATAAACAGATGCAGTGAGAGCTGGGATGGAAATAAGACAGTGTTGTGATAGGTAATGACCAGGCATCTTCTCAGAACCAGCAATGTTGTTTTAGCTGAGATTGGAAGAGAGAGATAGGAGAATAAAGGAAAGACTAGGGAATAGTAAGGGCTTCCCTGGTGGCTCAGGCGGTAAGCAGTCTGCTTGCAGTGCAGGAGACCCAGGTGTGATCTCTGCATTGGAAAGACCTCCTGGAAGAGGGCATGGCAACCTACTCCAGTATTCTTGCCTGGAGAATCCCACAGACAGAGGAACCTGGCAGGCTACAGTCCAAGGGGTCGCAAAGAGTCAGACGTGATAAGCAACTGAGAACATAGGGAACAGTACACACATAAGGATCTGAGATGGGAAAGGGATTACAACATTAAAGAAACAGAAAGGGATTGAAGTATGGATAAGCCAAGTGAGTCAAAGGTAGTGGAGAGAACTGACACTGGAGAGCCAGGCAGGGGCGAGGTCACACTGGGCTTATCAGCCATGACAGGGAGTTCATTCAGACTTCATTCTAGTGTCAAGAGAGGTGAGCAAAGGGCCTAAATTGTTTGAGTTACATGAAATGACTAATCTTACTAAATTATTAGTCTATAATTCTGAATTACACATATAATTACATGCAATAAGAATATAATAAAACAGGAAGCACATAACATTTATGTTCTATATGCCTGGTTTTAATTAATGGAAAGAGCCTTCAGTGGATTGACATAAGCTCAGGATCTATACGTTTGCTTCATCACTTTGATTGTTAGAATCCACTTCAGCATGACTTTCATGGAAAATGACAAAACGAATCTGAGGCTTAAATTACCCAAACCTGGTCCTTTGGGAGCAGAAGGTTTCTTGGCACATATCTTTACAGTTAAGATCTAATTATTAGTGATGCACAAATGGTTTTATTGGCTGCATCTCCAAGAAAGTGAAACACAGTTTACTTTTCCCCAATGCCAAATAGTGTTTGAATAAGCACTCAAGGAGATATTACCCCTGATGTTGGATCTTTACAGAAGCTTGAATTAATGTAAGAAGGATCAGAAATTATATCTGTTTTGGTTTAAAGTTTATCCCCCACATATTACAGAGGCATTTGAGACCACTTCAAAAATTAAATACTGCACAAAATAAAGCAATAAAGGGAAAAGAGGGTACAAATCTCTTTATCCCTTAGAAAGAAATGACTTTACAATAGGCAAAATCATTGACTGAATTCTGCCCCTGAATTTCCTGGAAACTGAGGAAAGAAGGGGAGTGGTGAGTCATGTGATACTTATTATCTGGTAACAAGAAAATATCAGAATCACTCTGCAGAGACAAACCTTTTTCTTTGAACCCCACTGAAAGAGGAATTTATACTGTAGATTTTTGTATAAGAGACATTGGTTATCTTATGGACAATGCCGTTCGTAAAAATGTTAAAGGAAAGACAGAAATGTA